GCATTTGCTTTGAAGCAAGACTTTTTGTTTACCCAGTTGGCGGATTATTTAGCTTGTTTTAAGGAAACACTAACTCAATTTTGACTCATTATTTCTGAAAACAAGACCATATGTTTTACTTGTCTAGAAAATGCTTCTTGGTTTAAGAATTTTTGGATGTTTGGACTAGAAACAAGACACAAACTCTATAGAAAATTAGTATGTTTGCAGTATAATGACAATTAGATGGCATGTAGTTGCAATGTGTTACAGCTCGGTTTGTAGGGTGAAGATAGAAATTAAGTGCGGATAGAAATGCAGCATATAACGAAGATTTAACCGAAACAAACAAAACAAGATATTGAAACACATTACCAATCCATGTCCAGAGTGAAACACAAACTAGAACATATAGTCCTAATAATTGGAATATGGACCACAGCTGTGTCTCTGTGTGTCCTCATGCACTTTAGCTGGGACTGGGGAGATAAGTGCAAGGCATGCTGGAAGTTGTAGTGTGTTCTCCAGCGATCTGCAGTCGCTGGATTGCTGGTGCTTGTTACACAATGTAATTTATTCAATCAACACAATTTGTTAAAGAGACCATCAAATAATACCAAATATCAAATTACTTTATAGTATTAAAATAGGCAAGTTCCCCTAGACATGCAAGTTTCAAGATTTAGGTTAGCTTCGTTTTCTTAGTATAATTTTCTTAAATAAAGCCATTGCACACAAACTTATTATTTTCAAGGCGTAATAACATTATGGTTGAAGCGCTGATGACACATGGACTGTTTTGACTGTTTAGTTTGCCTTTTTGGCTGTCTATGGAGGCTTAGAGAGCTTTTGGATTTTTAAAATATCTTAATTTGTGTTTAGAAGATGAACACCTGTTTGTAATAGGCTTACACGATGTTGGAAAAATCTGGCATTGCGATATTTTGTTTTTCTGCCACACATATTGCGATATGAATACAAATCCCCAGATATCTTGAATAGCTTTTAATTTTTTGGAAAGAATCCATTAATACTGACTGATTTTGGATTATTCTGGGTATGCATCATGCATACAATATAATAAAAGGGTAAATAAACACAATAGAGCAAAGAAAAAAAAGTAAAATATACAGTGCTTTAGGGGTTTTCTGGGAAGTCAAACTGTATTCAGGTACACCAGGAGGGCCCAAACTCAGTCCTGGAGGGCCGGTGTCCTGCATATTTCAGTTCCAACCCCAATTGAACACACATGAAGCAGCTAATCAAGCTCTTTCTAGGTATACTAAAACTTTTAGGCAAGTGTGTTGAAGGAAGTTGGAGCTAAACAATGCAGAACATCGGCCGTCCAGGACCGAGTCTGGACACCTCTGAGGTACACAATCAATAATAAAAAAAATAAATAAAAAAACACTGTACAATCTTCATTGTTTCAAATTAAATAAAATAAACCTTTAATAAAGTCACAAATGATACAATTTCTTGTGGCTGAAGGCACAGTCACAGACCTTAAAAACATGCAGATGATAAAGTTCACATAATTATGGTTAGAATCCACAAATCTTGCTCTTTGGCTCTTGCTCAAATATAAAAGCAACATCCAGCATGTGATTATTGCAGATGCACACATTGCAATATCGACGCTAAAACAGTATATTGCGCAGCCCTAGTTTGTAATAACATGAGGATGAGTAGTTAATGACAAGAGCTTCCAATTTTGGGTGAACTAACCCTTTTACTGCAAAAAAGCCTTTCTTAATTAGAGGTTTTGTCTCATTTCTAGATAAAAGAAGCACTGTCTTGACAAGTAAAAAATGGTCCCGCTTTCAGAAATCCTTAAACAAGATTAAGTCAGTTTTACATTAAAAAAAGCTAAATTATCTGCCAGTGAGACAAGCAAAATAATATATTTTTCAAACTAAAAGCTGATTATTTTTACTTGATTTATGTAAAAACTCACTTAATTTTGACATTACTTCTGAAAACAAGTAAAGAAAGTCCTTCTTGTTTTAAGAATTGTTATTTCATCTAAAAACAAGACAAAACTCTCTAAGAATGACATTTTCTGCAGTGATTGTATCATCCTGCACTAATATGGCCAAAATAGTCAATCCAATGATATTAGTTTCTGTCCAGCAGATGTTGTGAAGGTTAAAGGTCAATGTACCGTCAGCAAACAACAGATATAACTGAGCACACACACCGGATTTACTCCACCTTCACTGGAGTCTTACTTCCATTTAGCTGATTAAAAAAGCTCCTCTGCTGTCAGACACAAGGTTGCTCTAGGACAAAAGAGCGAGACGTTCCTCTTCAGATTAAAAAGGGTACAAGGGTGTCACTGTATCCAATTAATCAATGCGGTCTGTTTCCTGGAGCATTGACATTTCAAAGAACATCTGTACGCTTTAGGAAGCAGACTCGGTTTGCTCATATTTGAGACTCAACCATGAACTGATGACTGATTTTTCCTGCTCATTTATATTTTCTATTTGTTTCCAATATGCGTGTCAAAGACAATAAGTGTTTTTTAAGCCTCAAAACAATACAATTGTAATCCAGCTTTAGATTATGTTCACACACTATCCATGCAAACACTTTCAGAGCAACTATAATAGAAAAGAGAAACTATTATATATGATTACTATTATTTACACAAGACATCACTAAAATGTCAAGTGTAACAATGGATTATTGTCAAACTATCTCTTGTCATCATTTGATGACTGGTGTTGGTCACGTTCCTTTAAGTAACTCATTAGTTATAGTTACTACTATAGCCAGGCCATTACTAAAGTCAACATTTTCTCTTTCTGTCAAATACATAACCAACCCAAACAGATGTTATTGTTTGACACACACACACACACACACACACACACACACACACACACACACACACACACACACACACACACAGACACAGACACACACACAGACACACACACAGACACACACACACACACACACACACACACACAGACACACACAGACACACACACACACACACACACACACACACACACACACACACACAGACACACACACACACACACACACACACACACACACACACACACACACACACACACACACACACACACACACACACACACACACACCCAACTGTACTTGTCCCACTGACACACTGACTGAAAGACTAGCACAAAGTGGCATTTTGAAATGACAGAAAAACACATACTAAGGTAAATAATACACAATTAAAAACAAACTAAATGAACCATGACAGCTCCTGGTTAGAATCAACATGCAAAATAGTAGTAACATACTTTTATAAGTAATTTTGATGATTAAATAACATGAAATATGAAAAGCCTGAAATAAATGCTACATTTTAATGTCAATTTAAATATAATATTAATGTTTTCCCCAATGCATTAGATTATATGAGCAAAAAAACATAAAAATAATGATAATAATGATTTAATTTAATACAACAACACTCTATTTAAATATCACAGCCTGCAGGATTTGGCAAAGTCACATCCTCATATATATATATATATTTATTTTAGAAAGTGCAGGTTAGAAAAAGTAAGTTTGATATAAATATACTGGTTAGTAAATTTATTATTTAATGTACAATTCACAATATTATCAAACTTTTAACTGGATGTACTATCTTCTTAATAGTAAGGTATTCGTTGGGTTTAGGTATGTTTGGGTTTCAGGAATGTACAATAAGATCAGGGGTGCCCAAACCTTTTCTTCTGAAGGGCCAAAAACCAAACTTGACTGAAGCTAGTGGGCTGAAGGTAAATATAGCTACCACGGGTAATTTCCTAATTTATTTAATATTATTAAAAATAACTAGAAAACATTGCTTTATATTAACTAATACATAATTTTTTTACATTTTATAACAAACCTATTCAGTAAAAACAGAAACAATCTCATTTATAACAGAATGCAGATACACGAGTTTTTGTCTTAATTTGCTCACCAATGTCTACTGCATTCTCTATCCATTGACTGACATCATTTACATTTTAACAAATCTGATTGATTTACAACATTTAATTGAAACATGCTTTTTTTTGTATCTCAGGAATAAAACAAACAATGTTACGTCAAATTAGTAATGACAATTTCCTTTAAAGGCATTCGCCTCACTCTCACCACTCTCTCGGATGGGATGGTGGGCCAAATCAAAGGTTACAATGGGCCTACTTTGGGCATCTCTGAATAAGATCATACTTTATAAGTGCTAATAAATAGTTCACATCTTAATAATAGACAGGTTAATAAGCAGTAATTAGTGTGAATACTTTATAGAGTTACCGATATATCTTATATGAAAGATGGCAGAACATTATTTGACCCACATTTTGACATTTCATCTTGAAAGACTTTTTTTTAAAATTGTTTAAAGACATTTATTTCGCATTTAATATGCTTTCTGCACTGTTAAAATACTCCCAACACAAATCAATTAAGTAAACTGGATCAATAATTTATGTGAACATAAAACAATTAAGTAGTCCCACAAAAACGATTAATATTGTATTTTTTCAACTCGTTTTAAATACATAGTTTGAACAAGTCATTATTTTGAATGTGTATGTTAAATTAACTCAAACGTCAAATAACAGGACGGCTATTCTACCTAGCAACAAGTGTAGATTTACTGTATATTGATGTAGAAAACAGATGGAATGTAGAAAACAAAACACCCGAAAAAAAGTCACAATAAAAGCATTGATTTACTCTGTTTTGTGCTAGAAATCCTTAAAAAGACGTAAACTAGCAATGAGGTGACAGTGAGAGGCTTTAGGGCTAACCAAACCGAAGAACAACCTCTTTTTATAAACCACCCAAAATATCCGCGAGCCGGACCGTTACTCGAGCCACACAAGCAACTTTACCTCAGATTTCTGCCTTTATGTCACTCACATCTGTCTTTCACACACTCCAACGTTATTACAAACAAAAAACAAACGAGAAACACACCGAAAACACAGCCATCTTTCATTCGAGGAACAGTATTTTCGCGGCAACTTTACCTTTTTGGCTTTAATTACTAGTTTTCTCTCTTCACTTTCGAAGCCTCATCGGGTCTTTGTCAACGTGTATCCTTCAGTTTTCCTTTAACCCTCTAAAATCTTCTTTTAAATCCTTCAGACTGGACTAATCAGACGGAGAAACCCATCCTGCGCCCGTCGGTGTGAAATTAAGTATTCCAGGTTATATTATCGTGTGTTTGTTCGCATTAGTGAAGAGCGGCTGGACGCTCAACACTGCGCTGGTGGAGTAGTGACGTCAGCGCGCAGACCCCGCCCCTACAGAAAACACCGCACACGTCATCATAATGTCTTTTGACGACACGAACTGCTCAGGAGAATCACGCTAATTACTATGATAGAAAGAAATACTGTGCCCTAAATTAAGGATAGATACATAAACCAAAATATCTGACATGGAAACATAGCAATGTCACATATATTCTGCAAAAACAACATTGAGTCAGTTGATATAGAACAATAAATGTCCACTCAAAGAAGTTTAGGGGAAAAAAACAGTACAAAAATACTAATAAGTCATGATGACATTTTTGTATGTTAATTTAATTAATTAAAATAACACTTCCTTTTTAAATGACATACAATGACTGTTTTAAGCTTGCTTAATGTAATATAATAACTTATTAAAATTTAAATATACATTTAATTGGAGTTTTATGTTGGTATTTTGTTTATCATATATACTTTGTTTATAAATATTTGTTATTTTGATACATATTTACGCAATGTGAGCATTTTATTGGCAAAACACATGTATAATAATACAATAAAATAGAAAATTAAATAAAAATTCACCAATCGCACCCACAAATAAACTATTTGAGCATGATTCATCAATGACTTATTTAATTTTCAAAAAGATTACATTAAAGAAAGTGTCATAATCGTAATATAACTTTAATTAATATTATTTATTTTAGCTATTATTAATATAGAAATTGCTAATAGTGCACTAAAAGCTTAATAATGTACACAATAGTTGTTTGTGTTGGTGGTTTGTATAATATTATTATTATTTTTGTTATTATTATACAGAGTATTTAGGAAATGTACGCATTTTATTGGATAATCACATAAAAAATAATACAATAAAATTAAAAAATCTAATAAAAATTCCCCAAAAGTACCCTTAATATATAAACATAAACAATCTGAGCATAATTCGTCAATAATAATGTCATAAAAATGTCACAAGACTTGTTCAAAACTTATTTAATTCCAACACTAAAACTATTACACTAAAACAATATGTAAAATGATTACACTGACAAGTGATGTGCATAACTTTGGGGTCAATTTTTGGTCATTATTAAATTATAATAAATTGCTATTACTCTTAATAATTAATAAACCTTAATAATGCAATGCCTCTTTTGGCTTAATAATGCATTGCCTCTAACCTCCTAATAAACCTTATCAATGAGCACAATAGTTGACATTTATAACTTTAGTTGTTGTTTTTTGCAGCTCAGGCTCTCGTCAAGCCCACTTTCATGAGCTGCAGAAACAAGCAGCGATTGTGTGATCTACAACACACTCCTGAGAAACAAACAAAGACACCCTTTACACTTAAAGGAGTACTTTAAAGCACGGTAGATTCAAGAAATCACATCTAGAGCACCTGAGGGCGACCGCAGGGGTTTTATGAGTTAACTAAAACCTTCATCCGTGTTAACTGAAATCAAGTAAACATGAACTGAAATAAATCCTCATTTATTTTGTTAGCTAGTTGGATAAGAAATTATTTCATTTTAATTCAGTTTGAGTTGATATATTAAAACAACTCAAATAAATTAATCCCATAAAACACATTAAAAAACATAAAGGGAAAAAAGCTAATCAGAAAATAAAAATATAATTAAAATTATTAATAAAACTAAATGTTAATCCAACACGTATAAGCTGTGCTAATATGTTTATTATGCATATTTAATCCTGACATTTAAGTAAAAATAACGGTGACTGATGTAGAAATTCCTATTATTACTGATCATTAATATATTAGTGCTACAGTTTTGACATGTACATTTCTTTAAAAAGCAGATCCACAATGTGTGTTATGAAGTAAAAAATAAGACATTGCTTCTTTAAATATAGATAAGCAATACAAAAACCAAATGAAAAAAATACTATAGTAAACTGTAGTAAATATTTTAGTGTTTTTGAACCATCCTACAGTAAAGTGAACTAGACCATTACTGTATATATTATAGTGTTAACACTTTACTAATGACTTTTCCAGCATTACCTACAGTGTACTGATTAACTGTAATAAATAATGCAGTATACTTTAATTTTACTACAGTAAACTGTGGCATATTGTAGTATAATATACCCTTTAGCTGTATAAACTACAGTATCGGCTCATTTGTTTATATTACTACAGTTGTGGTTTCCATAGCAACTCTAGAATCATCACAACAGATAAATTACTATAGTTGTTGTGTTACCATAGCAACTGTAGTATCACCACAACATATCAATTACTATAGTTGCAGTGTTTCCATAGAAACTGTAGAATCACCACAACAGATTATTTACTATAGTCGTTGTGTTACAATAGCAACTGTAGAATCAATTACTATAGTCCCAGTGTTTCCATAGCAACTGCAGAATCATCATGACAGATCATTTACTATAGTCGTTGTTACCATAGCAACTGCAAAATCACCACAACAGATCAATTACTATAGTTGCAGTGTTTCCATAGAAACTGTAGATTCACCACAACAGATTATTTACTATAGTCGTTGTGTTACAATAGCAACTGTAGAATCAATTACTATAGTCGCAGTGTTTCCATAGCAACTGTAGAATCACCACAACAGATTATTTACTATAGTCGTTGTGTTACAATAGCAACTGTAGAATCAATTACTATAGTCGCAGTGTTTCCATAGCAACTGCAGAATCATCACAACAGATTATTTACTATAGTCGTTGTGTTACCAAAGCAACTGTAGAATCACCACAACAGATCAATTACTTTGGTCGCAGTGTTTCCATAGCAACTGTAGAATCATCACAACAGATCAATTACTGTAGTTGTTTTAATACCACAGCGACGTTATAATCACCACTACAAAGTACTTTACTATGGTACGGTTTAAAACACTACAGTATTATTAGCTATAAATGACTCTAGATTTTTCATGTGGGAAAATAAATACCTTTAAATGAAATGTATATTGCAAAGACAAGAAAAAGAGAAGCGAAGAGTCAAAAAGAGAGAAGTGACACAGTAGTAGATTCTGAGAAGGATATTTAAGTATAGTGAGAGTATTGGGTGGATGCATTACAGAGAAGAATGAGGGGAAAATATCCTGAATTATGTGCAGAAAACAGACGCAGAATGTCTGGGTTGCTATGATTACGCAAGCACACGAGAAAGAGACGCCCAAAAGAGGCGATGCAGCTTTCACAACCAGATCCTCTCTCAATACTCACACATTTTACACTGGAAACCGAGCAACTTAAAAAAAAAAGCAAAATAATGGAATTTTGTTTTTGGACTCATGGCTATTTATTTATATATACAGTATACAGTTGAAGTCAGAATTATTTGCCCTCCTGTGAATTTTTTTTTTAATTTCCTAAAATAGTGTTGAACAAATTCAGGATTTTTTTTCACTGTATTTCCTATAATATTGTTTTTTTTCTGGAGAATATCTAATTTGTTTTATTTTTCCTAAAATAAGTTTTACATTTTTTTATAACCACTTTAGGCCCCCTTCAGCAATATTTGTTTTGAATTGTCTACAGAACAAGCCACTGTTATACAATGACTTGCCTAATTACCCTAACTTTACCCTAATTACCCTAGTGAAGACTTTAAATGTCACTTTAAGCTGAATACTAGTGTCTTGAAGAATATCTAGTCTAATATTATGTGCTGTCATCATGACAAAGAAAAAAGAAATCAGTTATTAAAAAAGAGTTACTAAAACTATTATGATAAGAAATCTCTCTACCTTATACTGAAATTGGGGAAAATAATATACAGAAGAGCTATTAATTAAGACTGCATACACACAAGATGTAATTGTTATTGTATAGACAGCACTGCCCTCTTGTGGTCACTGATGCGTGTTACAAGCTTATGAACAGCATTAAGTGTACTAATGGCCCAATAATCAAGCAGATCATCTGGAATAAATGATGAGAAGAGAATGATAATGATAACAAGAGATTCAGTGTACATATTATATGACAATAGTCACACTTTACATATAGCAAAACACACAAAAAGCCAGTTACAACATTCCTAAAATTAAATGAACACCAAAACTGTAATTGAAAAGTTTTACACCACTTTAAACACATTTAACTTGTATTCTCTTATTTAACTATAGTCATTTCTGTTGAAATGTATGTGAAATGCCACATTAGTAAGCGCCAACTGAACAGCGCCCTCTGCTGTCCTGAATGCGGAATTATGCTACGTTTACACAATATATCCCTGTAATTCTTTACACTTTAATTCAACATAAACAATTGTTCACAGTGTACATTCTGTAACTCTAATTTTGAAACACTTTTGTTTATTTTTAGACAGCAATTTTGTAAAAGATTTCTGGACAGTGTCCCCTGGCTTGTTTTTTTTCAGCGTATGACATTTTTTATTTGGCCATCCGTCTCAAATGGATGATGTGTTGACATTATTAACTCTTTGCTGCCTTTTTCTCATTCATAAATGTAAAGTTATTGATTGTATACCAAATATTAGGATATTTTGAAGTGATTTGAACTCTTTTATGCATCTATCTGCCAAAATATGAAGAAAGCTGCTAAAACAACTGTGTTATACTAATAATTGTAAGGAGATTATATTTATATCACATCCCTTTTTGTACCATTTTATTGATTTACTTATATGTTTCTCAGATACTCATTTGTTTGACTGTTTTTTTTCTTTCGCTTCTCTTTAATTACTTATTTATGTTTGTTCATTCATCTATTAATCTTTTTTTTCTCGTTGTATTTATGTATTAAGGTTTTATAAGTTAGTGTTTATCTACTTTAGCTACATTCATATCAAAATAAATACCACAGTGTTGTTGTAAATGATGTTATCTTTATCCTATTACAGAAACAAATAAAAATAACAAGTTTCACATTTACATAAATGTACACACAGTTTTAGAGCGTATAAGTCTATTAAAGTTTAAACAAGTTGGCTTTATATTCGCACATTGGTTCATTTATGAACAGTGACATGATCTCCATGTTGTTTACCACACTATTTTGAATATTGGGTCTGAAATGGCATGTTAATATGACTCCAAAACAACATTAGCACCATTTAAATGACTGTAAACAATGTTGTAACTTGTCAGCGATTGGTTAATTCACAAACAATACTTTTCTGGAATTATATTGTGAAGGAGAAATTCTGAATGTGCAAATATAAAGCTAACTTTACCCCAGTATTAAGTATGCCAGGCCAGTACTCGGCGCTGTGCATTGACAGTAAACAGTAACGTTACCTGTAGGAAACTGAAGACGTGTCGTCGGCGGTTTGGCGCTGATGTCTATCTTCAATTTGCTGTTGGTGTGAGATGAGCATCCACTGTTGGTTGTGATGTGAAGTAATACAGATTTCGCTAATAAACATTAGCAAACACTCGAGCAACAACAACACTAGCATGTTACTCCACCGTTGGTGTTCTTCTTCTTCTCTTTTGTTTACTGGCCGTTCAGTACTGTTTTGGAGTACTATCGCCACCTATTGTATCTTATTAAGCACTTCGGTGGTGGGTCTGTATTAAAAGTAATGTCCTATTCTTCCCTGGAGATCAGGTAGGAAACACTTGAGCGTCGACACTTCCATATGCTCCGCCATTGTGTGTTTGTTTGCCTGTGTGCGTGCGCGCGCGCGCGTGACGTAATCGTTTTCAAAAGCTTTTATTTTCGGTTGTTTACAATTACACATTTCACTGACAAACAGGATGTTGTTGGTCATCAAACAGGCAAAATACTTGAAAAGTGTTCAGTTTTTAACTGAATTTGTAGTGTGCACACAACCTTAATCGCTTTCTGTGTAAAAAGTCTGCATAATCCAGGTAGTTTTATTGAGTTATGAATATTGAGTAGGGGGCGTGGTTTTATTTTTTGCACCCCGCCTCTGATCTTTTACTCGCAGCAAACTAACGGTAAAGTCTAGATGAGATACAGCTGCGGATACACACATCAGTATAGCGTGATTTTTGTGACACTGTATAACAATAATTAATATTTTTACATGACTGTGACGGTTGGGGTAGACGTAAATAAATTAAAGTTATTGGGTCATTTAATAAATAACACAAATAATACTATTGTTTTTACATTACTGTGACGGATGGGGTAGGGGTAGACATTAAAAAAAATACAATTATTGGGAAATTTAAATAAATAACATAAATAATACTCGGTACAGCAACTGTTTTTACATTACTTTGACGGGTTGGGGTAGACGAGTGCTTAATTTGTGAATTTGAAGTCCCGGAACAGATCGGGGTAACTGATCCAGCATGTTACCTAAGGATGTAGAGGTGTCACGCATGAAAATGGACGAAAAGTGTTGTGCATGAAAGTGAAGAGTGTTGGGGAGTCGCAAAAGAAATTGAAAGTGAACAGCGGAAGAAGGAGGAGGGCGGTTAAGGAGGGGGATCGGTAAAATGAGGTGCCAGATCCGGCGTGTTCCAGCACAATTTAAGCCCTACGGTAGACGTTAACAATTACAATTATGGGGAAATTTAATAAATAATTCTCGTCAACTTCCGGCCGCATCCGTATCTGATTTAGCAACAACCCAAACTAACAGTAGGAGGGGCGTGGCTATGCATATTTATACTAATTTGTCAAACTGACATCATCAGAGAAAAACTGCTATTCCTCAGAGCTGAAGCAGATTAAATATTGAATAAAGATGACCAAAACAAGGATTAATTTGCTCGGATTAACTGTTCACTTTAAGACATACAATGTGCACTAGCAAACTAAACAGGGGTTTCATGCAGACTATTACATTAATAAAACCAGGGTTGTAAGATAACTAATGACATACTCAAGTGCTCGTAAAACTGTTTGGAAGCATTAAAAGTGTCCAAGAAGATCTTCACACGTGTTGACCCAGAGACTGTTTAGATGCATGTAACTAATGAGAAGATGACGGATGTTTACTGTATGATGACCAAAATGGCCTTAAACACCCAGCAGACACAAGACATCAACATGACGTCAGATTGACGCTAAACTTCAACGTTGTGAGGCTGTTGCTTTTTGTTTGGAAAAGAAAACCGGGTTAACGTTAGTGTCCAACGTAAAATCAACATCTGATGATGTTACAGCTTGACGTTGCGTGGACGTTACCAATATGACGTCTATCAGATGTTGGTTGTCATACCCGAGGAATAAATGTCAGTATGTGCATCGATATGATGTTGGATATAAAATATTGGCATGTTGTTGGACAACCTAAAATCAACCAAATATCAACGTCGTTTCACATCATTATTGGACATCATAATAATGTTGTCCTTAGACGCTGGCTAGAACTTGAACTTTATTTTTATGTGATTATCCTGGCTTGAACTCTAACCTAATATTAACGTCTGATGATGTTGTGTGTCTGGTGGACAATACCTAAATGCACTACAGAATGTTACGTTTACACACACATGCACAAATTAGATGTAAACGCATCAGCTTTTCACAGCACAATACTCACTACTCACTATTTTTGAGTACTTTTGAAAGGGCTACTTTGAGTAATATTGACAACAGGCACTTTTACTCTACTCGTACTACATTTTTAGGAAAGTAATGGCACTTTTACTTGAGTATGAGCACTGAATAAAACTAAGGCTGCGTCCGAAACCGCATACTTCCATACTATATAGTACGCTAAAATCAGTATGCGAGTCGAGTAGTTTGTCCGAATTCATAGAATTTGAAAAACAGTATGCGAGAAGTACCCGGATGACTTACTACTTCCGGCGAGAATCTAGAGTGCGCATCCCATGCACGCTGCGCTATCCCATGATGCCCCGCGAGCGAATTCATGAATGGGAGTAAAGCGACGTAATTGACGCAGGCAGGTCACGTGACCATGACAAAATGGCGGATGTAGTACGTCCGAATTCCATTCATACTTTTCACGTTCATACTGTATAGAACGCACTTTTCTAACGGCCGAGTAGTACGTTTAAATTCAAATGCAGTACCTACTCAGTAGTAGGCGGTTTCGGACGCAGCCAATCAATATTAGTAAAAGAAAGAAAACTAGTTTCAGAAAGCATTGATTAGAGCTGAATCTGAATGTTGTCGGCCTGTTTTGATGTGGGAGATTTGATTCTGTGATGCAGAGCTTCAAATACAAAACATTGATATCCATTTTAAGGCCTTGCTGTCTTTATTCATTTTTTTCCTTCCTTCCTACAACAGCAAATTACAGAGGCAGTATTGAAAATAAAAGTAATCTTTGCGTCCGCGTCTGATCGTAAAAAAAACAAACAAACTAAATCAAATCAGCACAAACAAACGACAGTACAAAAACAAAAGGAGAACCAGGGCCAGGTAAATAGGAGTATTTACTATAGGAAATCTGTATAGCTTTTTCAATAATGAAAACATCTCGATAAATCGACCGTTTCAGAACGGCATTGCACATTCTGAAACTATATTAGAAAGTAAAAATGAACGCCGTCTTTTTGATTTTATTTCAGTTGTCTTTTTTATACAAATGAACGCTATAAACACATAAACTTCATCATCAAATATATTGATCAGTGCAACATCGTTTCTTTCAGTTAATGCTACAGTATATGCTTTCTCGCCAGCTTCAGACGCACACATGTAGCATCGACACTCGGATTCATGTCGTCCAAAGAAACGCAAGAAATAAAAGTGTTCGCCACAGTATACAACACAGTACATGAACATACCAAGAAACCTGTAGAAAACGTTAGTATTGTCAGCAGTGAAGCCCTGTTATTGGTTAAACTACACGTGTAGGTCAGTCCAGAAGTGATGATGATGATGATGAGCGAAGGTGAGGATGTCTTCTTTTTTGGGGCTGGTTGTTGTTGTTGTGATTGGACCCTGCAGTTTGAGGCAACAGTCCTTTGGTAGAGACACAAGGCCAATGACAGACTCCACAAACATTTCTGCAGATATGACTGTAATAATAGCACCACTCTTAAAGCCGCCGACAGCTTTAATCCAGACCACATTAATAATAATGATAATGAGCTCCAACTGTAGGCAAATCAAAGCAAGGCAATGATGATCATTTTACCACGGTGTGTGTTTTTTTGGTATGCTGGATAGACATTCTGAATCCCCACATGACAAAAATACTGTAGTAATTCATACTAGTTACTCCTTTTTTCTTCAGCTTAGTCCCTTATTTATTAGAGGTCACCACAGTGGAATGAACCGCCAACTATTCCATCATGTTTTTTAGGCAGTGGATGCCCTTCCAGCTGCAACCCAACACTGGGAAACACCCATACACTCTCATTTACACACACACACTCATAAACTACGGCTAATTTAGTCAATCAATTCCCCCATAGCGCATGAGGAAACCCACGCCAACATGGGGAGAACATGCAAACTCCACACAGAAACACCAACTGACTCGAACCAGTGACGTTTTAGCTGTGAGGTGACCGTGGTAACCACTGAGCCACAGTGCTGCCAGAATTTGTATAACTAACTTAAAATGTAACTATATATTAACAAAAACATAATAGGTGCGTCCCAAATCGCATGCTTATGCACTACTCTACAACATTTCGTAGTGTAAATAGTGTACGTAGTGCGTTCACACTGAACACTCTTAAAGGAATAGGTGCAAAACCCGGATGATGCGCTTCTTCAATGTTTAAATACCAGGATAATGCACTTATTGGACACTTCACACACTCAACGGCTGCTGGATTGCTCACCCAGCGGAAGAGCACTGATGTTGGATTACTTTATTTTGGATTGTGAAAGCCGTATTCTCCTACGAGAGTGATTAAAGCGCCTCCCGATGGTGAATGCGGTTATACTCATGACAGGTATTAATTGTTAGTTTGCTAATTTGTTTTGTTAATTAAACCGTCAAACGTCATCTGGGAAACAGTTTGAATTTCCGCTTAGTAAAAAACAGTAGTGGTCTACTTGGGACGACCCCACATACATATACTTTGCTGTTGAGTGTGTAAGTGCATAGTGTGCCATTTGGGACACAGCACTTGACTATTTTGTGTACTTGATTCAATCTGTTTCGGTAATTCAGCATTCATTATCAAATACTATAATATATACACTCACCGGCCACTTTATTAGGTACACCTTACTCGTACCGGGTTGGACACCTTCAGATTTGCCTTAATCCTTTGTGGCATAGATTCAAGAAGTTACTGGGAATATTCCTCAGAGATATACACTCCCTTTCCTCCACATCACAATGGTGCTCAATTGGATTGAGCTCTGGTGACTGTGGAGGCCATTTGAGTAAATTTCCTCTTTTTCAGACCATTGTAAACCCTAGAGATGGTTGTGCATGAAAATCCCAGTAGAGCAGCAGTTTCTGAAATACTCACAGCAGCCTGTCTGGCAGCAATAACCATGCCACGTCACTTAAATCCCCTTTCTTCCTCATTCTGATGCTTGCTTTGAACTGCAGCACATCGTCTTGACCCTGCCTAAATGCACTGAGTTGCTGCCATGTGATTGGCTGATTAGAAATTGCATTAACAAGCAGTTGGACAGGTGTACCTAATAAAGTGGCCGGTGAGTGTATAGTATAATACGCTTTACTATTGGATCCTTGCTCAAAAACACTACAGTATTTACTATAAATTACTATATTATTTTTTTTCACGTGGGGTGTGAGAGACGCACTCTTAAAAATAAAGAGTGAGAGAACATTAAGGATTATTTGTGTCTTCATATGAAGAGCATTTTAATAATCCAAAAATATTGTTTCTCCACTTTAACGGAATTGAACATCTGATGTGAAATGTTCTTCGCACAATAATCAATGTCTATTTCAGTGTAAGACGATGCTCAGCTTTATATGAGACAGCGGATCCTGTGATGGACTTCTGTTTTGAACAAGGGCTGCATCTTTTGGGAGCGTAGCAAAAAGAACCCAACAGGACGGAAAAAAAGCACACGTTTCACTCCACGAAACACTCAGACGATTGTATTTACAACATACAACCCAGGAAAAAAGGGATACTGCAGCTCTCTTTTTTGTCCTTTTACTTGTTTCTTTGAAAAGGGCATTAAAATATATTAAAACGTATGTACAATATGCATGATTTCGACATTAAAGCGCTATGAATTTCCCCGGGATTCGTTTTGCAGTTTCAGCCTTGTTTTGTTTTAAAGAACTAAAGGGTTGAGAACGCCATAAAACAACAGAGGAGGCCAAAAAAGATGTACCAAAGGCACTGACCGAACCATACCCAGAATGCAACAGGGCTGGATGATATTCCACCCCTTTGATCCTAATTACCTTCCCTTGGCCGTATATATGGTTCATTTGGGTTTTTTTGTTTGTTTTTGTTTACACATCTCCTTAAAGCGCAAAACAATCTCTTTTTTTAAAAATAAAAATAAATTCCTCCTAGAAAAGAAAGAAAAGATAAATACTTTATAACATTATTATATATTGGTCTCAACACCAGCATCCGATTGTAAAAATGATCAACCAAAAAATAATACAAAACAATAAAATAATAATTTCAATCATCTGTACATATTCGTGTGTTTTTTTTTCAATGTTTTGTACACAGTGTCCCCCTACTGGTGGGTTCTATTCACTGCAGCTCCTGAGAAAAGCATGGCTCAGTCCCAGTCCTCCTCCGATTGGTTCACTGAACCACAGAGCCTTGTCCTCCTCCAATCGGATGGCATCGGCAGTCCATGTAGCCCCGCCCCCCCTGAGGAGAGATTCCCTCTTATTGGTCGGCGCCTCACGCTTCCGAGTACGAGTTCTGTGAGTTGAGCTTGTCCTTCTTTAACTTGACGCCGTCCACCAGCTCAAAATTATAGTTCTCCAGGGCTGATAAGTTCCTGTCTGACATGCCGCTATGAGAGCAGGCGCAGTACAGCACCACGCCACAGATGGCGCCCAGGAAAACACCAAGCGCACTCATGGCGATGATAGTAATGAGGATGGGGTCCAGGGTTTTCAGCATGTTTCCAGCTCCGCCGATATCTGGGTTCTCCACGATATCTGGGAAATCGGTGATGTCCACCACTGCAAAACAGCAGGTACGACACATGTGAGGGTGTGTTACATTTAAAGACCGCATAAACCGGAAGTCGCAACCGTTTTGTGATGCAGTTCCAAGAGAAACGGAATATTAAATAGGAAAACAGTGGGCGTGGCTTGTTTTTTTCCACTGCGAGCGGATTGGATGTAGTGAAGTAGGCATTTCATTCAGAAAGATGGGGGAAAAGGTTTGGGGAGAGTTATTAAACCCTAACAGACTCCTCCTGCTCACCATTTCTGTTAGATGTCAAATCTGACAGCAGGAGGGGCGTGGCTAGGTATGTTAGCCACGCCCTATACCTCAGACAGATATAAAACAACAGGTACGACACATGTGAGAGTATGCTTTATGTAGAATATGATATCTTTAACACCAAGTCAAATTTGAGACCTTCTTTAGACAATTTTAAATGAACTTAAGACTTACATTAAGGATTTTTACTTGGCCCATTAAAAAAAATTGTAATTGCCTGCAGCTCGCTCTCTGCAACTCTCACATGCTCGCCCACTGAAGCTAAACAGGGCTGCACCCAGTCAGTAACTGGATGGGAGACCACATGGAAAGCTGGGTTGCTGTTGGAAGTTGTGTTAGTGAGGCCAACAGGGGGCGCCCAACCTGCGGTCCGTGTGGGTCCTAATGCCCCAGTATAGTGAAGGGGACACTATCCTGCTTAGTGAGTGCCGTTTTTCAGATGAGACATTAAACCGAGGTCCCGACTCTCTGTGGTCGTTAAAAATCCCAGGATGTCCTTTGAAAAGGAGTAGAGATTTAACCCTGGCATCCTGGCCAAATTTGCCCACTGGGCTCTGTCCATCATGGCCTTCTAACCATCCCCATATAAAAATTGGCTTCATCACTCAGTCTCCTCTCCACCAATCAGCTGGTGTGCGGTCTGGTGCAATATGGCCAGGTGGATGCTGCACACTGGTGGTGGATGAGAGGATCCCCCATCGTGTAAAGCGCTTAGAGTGTCTAGAAAAGCGCTTTATAAATGTAAGGAATTATTATTAATTACTTAAATAATACTTAAATGTGTTAATGTATCTGTGATGTCCAATGAAGACTGCAAAACAACAGATACGACACATGAGGAAAAGCTGTTACCTTTAAACCGTTTCCATTTCTCTATGACACCACTGTTACTGTTGGGTTCACGCTTGAAATTTCTAGGTGATGTACGCATACTACATATAGTTTTTCAAGTTAAGTTCAGGTTTTAACATATATATATATATCAGTCATTCATTCATTTTCTTTTCGGCATTTCATTTAATTATTTAAGATATTATTAAAATTGGCATGATCACTTATTACTTTTATAATTCAAGACTGTCATTAAATTTGGATTAAAATCTGAATTTTAGCATCAGTATCAGTTCTTATCACATTAAACATGAGTTTATTTGAATATATTTTATTTGATAAAATTACTTTCGCTTTGTCTTTGGTCTATTAAGGCAGATTTGGTGACATTAAATAATATTCTCAACTTACATAAAAACAGTTAATTTAGAAAATATGTAGGTGTTTTTCCCCCACCAGTGTAATCTGATAAAACATTAATATAATGTAAACCCTCTCCAAACATTAAAGATCCTGCTTTAATAAATAATCTGGAGATGTATTGATCGTTTCTCCAGCATTTGAGTGTGGCAGATTTGAGAAAGCAACTCACTGATTTCATTGAAATTGTCTTCTGGCTGTATCGGCTCTGCTGGGACATCTGGGTCTGCAGAAATACACATACATAAATACATATATGTTCATATACTCATTTTGTCATTAAGTCAGTAGTTCTGAACTATACAGATGCATAATGGCTCCAGATTGTATTTAAAATAAATGATTAAAAACAAAGATGCAAGTAAAGACTGTAGTTAAAGTTACCTTTAAGGTCATGAAAATAGCATATTATTTGCCATAATTTAGATGTTTTTGCATTTGAGCTCTTCAAATGTGTTCACCAAATGACGATTTCTCTCAGACTCCTGTATTTAAATTTAGTTATTTCACTTTAAATGCAATGAAAATAGGATATCATTTGCCAAAATTTCAAGGTTTTTACATGTGAACTCCTCCATAGTGTCGAAGTTAGCTAAAATTACGATTCCTGTCAGGTTTATGTTCTGTTATTTCACTTTAAAGGTCATGAAAATAGCATATTCTTTGCCATAACTTAAAGGTTTTTAATCTTAAATCTTCAAATGTGAATCAAAATGACGATTTCTATAAGTTATTTCACTTATTTCACTTTAAAAGCAATGAAAATAGCATATTATTTGCTATAACTTGGATGTTTTGGCATCTGCAACTCTTTAAATGTGCCAAAGTGAACCAAATGATGATTTGTAAAGGCTCCTATGTTTATATTCACTTATTTTAGCGTAAAGGCAATGAAAATAGCATATTATTTGCCGTAACTTAGAGGTTTTTGCATGTGAACCCACCAAAGTTGACCAAAATTAAGATTTTTCTCAGGAGCCTATGTCTATGTTCAGTTATTTCACTTTAAAAGCAATTAAAGTGTCATATTATTTGCTATAACTTAGTGGACTTTGCATCTGAACCCTTGAAATGTGTCAAAGTTTAACAAAATGATGATTTTTTTAATCAGACTTCTATTTAAATTCAGTTATTTCACTTTAAAAGCTATAAAAATTGCATATAATTTAACATAACTTAGCGGTTTTTGAAATTGTACTCTTCAAATGTGTCAGAGTTGACCAAAATGATGATTTCTATCAGGCTCCTGTGTTTATGTTCAGTTATTTCACTTTAAAAGCAATTAAAGTGGCATATTATTTGCTATAACTTAGTGGACTTTGCATTTGTTCCCTTAAAAAGTGCCAAAGTTTAAGAAATTTATCTTTTTTTAATCAGACTTCTATTTAAATTCAGTTATTTCACTTTAAATGCTATTAAAATTGCATATAATTTGACATAACTTAGCGGTTTTGTACTCTTTAAATGTGTCAAAGTTTACCAACTGACAATTGTTCTTTGTCTCATATGTTTATATTCAGTTATTTCACTTTAAAGGCGATGAAATCCCTAGATATGCAATGAATGTATAGACACGTGTGTGTGTGTGTGTGTGTGTGTGTGTGTGTGTGTGTGTGTGTGTGTGTGTGTGAGAGAATTTATTAAATACATTTTTGTACACCATTAACTTACACAATTATTTAAAACCTACAGCAAGTTAATACATTCCGATAAATGATAACAAAGCTGTCATTTCCCCTCAGCTTTACAGTGTGTGTGTGTGATTAATAAGTTAACTTGTACTCCAATAATCTTTTAAAGTCTTTCTACTTCAAATGTTTGTTCATTCAATGTGTTAATCACGTTGTTTCTTTGTTAATAATTGTGAGTTTTACTTCTAATTGTCTCTCTTTTTCAGTGCATATGGATAATTTACAAGTGTGACTACTAGACAGAGAACTCATGGAAATGAATCATATTTTAATAAAACAAGTCAGCCTTCAACTCTGTAACAGTTCATCTGACTCACCCTTGCAGTCGGCCATGTTCACATTGTCTAAGATTTTGATGTCGTCTACAGCGATGTCTCCCCAACTCTTCCTCTCGACCACACTTTCAATTATTACCTGTAATCATTGCAAACACACACAATAAAGTACGTTCATCTTCAGAACGTTACTAATAAAGTGTACAACAACATTATGATTACAGTAAAAGAACTATTTGCACATGTAAATCTGACTTTTCACCATCATTACTGCAGTCTTCAGTACAGTTTTTGGAAATCATGACAAATTTCCATATAAATTTTGGGAAAGACGCTGTAAAATATCAGTAAATGAACAGTTTGTGTATCGTGATTCATTGTTCTTTCAGATATTCTGCATGTGTACCTGGTAGGGTTTGTTGGAGTGTGGTATGAGGACGCGTCCCTCCCTCCAGCGGTTGCCCTGATGTCCGCTGACGGTCCACAGCAGCACATCAGCCGAGCCCTGACTGGTCTCTCTGCGCTGTTTAATGTGCAGCGTGCCGATGTGAGAGCCAAACATGTGGTACCAGAAAGACAGGCAGAGGTCTGAGTCCTGGCCCGACACCGACGGACTCACTAACCGGGCCACTTCTGTCTCCTGAGCTCCGGTCGCCAGCGTGTAGATGAAGTTCCCTGATCCGCCTGCATTGAAGCAATGAAGCGGAGGTGAGGTCCGGAGGATTTATTTTCATCACACTCTCGGAAGTAAACACATGGGAGCTGCCATTGAGCTGGTACATTTTTAAAAGATCCATCTAAACAGTCCATAATAGTAACTTAAAGGGGAGCTACTATGCTAAAATTACTTTTATAAGGGGTTTAAACCAGCTTCTAATGGTAAACATGTATTCATTTTTATTGTTTATGATCAGACTTGATATAAACAGTCTGTAGGAACACTTTGATTGACATTCTCCTGTTGTACGTGTCCTCAAAGGAGGAAAGCTCCGCCCTCTAGTGACCATCTCTAACTCATTAGCATAGGAAGTCTTCTTTGTGTATCTGCCACTATGCTGATGCACAGGCATTTGTAGCTCCGCCTTTTTTTGAAAATCTCATTTGAATTTAAAGCAACAGTCACCAAAATGTTGCAATTAGGATCAAAAAAAGGCAGTTTCAAAACATTGATTATAATATTGTATATAGTCTATATTATATAGAGACTCTTAAGAACATTAGAGACTTATTTTATTTCTTGTAAAAAGGGGCATAATAGGTTCCCTTTAAAGATACAGTATAGGATTGACGGCCTAGTGGTTGAACTAGGTGGTGCAGTTTAAATTCACCCGACCCTCCTATAGATAACAAGACACAAGCATAGGTTGCCAGATTGATAAGAAAGTGTGCCTGACGATCATGTCTTAAGCTTAAACCTTGAGTGTAAAATTGGTATTATTTGCTACTTCCAAAAACAACTCAAGTTCATTGACACCTAGTGGTCGTACTAAGTAATGCAGTCCAAATTAAAAAAATTAAAGGGTTTTTCACCCGAACCCTCCAACGAAGACTTAAAAACAAACCTGAGGGTTTCCAGATTGATGACACAAACAGGACTAAGTGTGCCTGATGATCAAAGCTTAAGCTCAGCTAATGTTTACATATGTAAAATTGCTATTATTTCCTAATTAAAAACAACCTATTTCGATCGAGTGGTCATACTAAGTATTGCAGTCCAAATTCAAAACACGAAGACTTAAAACAAACCCGCAGGTTGCCAGATTGATGACATAAATAGGAGTGAGTTTGCCTGACAGTCAGCTAATGTTTACGTTTGTAATATTTGTATTATTTGCTAATTAAAAACAACTCATGTGGGTTTTTATAACTGTAAATCTGTCCCATATTTTGGAGGCTGCTGCTGTCCGTAACATAGATGCAGCCTTCCTGACTGAAATGAAATGCACTGTTTTCCAGCCAAGACAACCCAGGGTGCTGAAATATAATTGTTAAAACTGTCAGTGGGCGGAGCTAGAGAGATCAAAACAAAGACAGGCATTCTGACACGGAGCGCACATGTTCAAAGCAGAATATCTGACTTTCGCTTTGTTTATCAGATAAACAAGTATGTTCACTGAGCATGATTCTGAAATATCTGTAAACCCATTATGGTATATTTATGCTTAAAAGATCAAAAACTTACATACAGCACCTTTACAGTACAGTACTGTACCTAGTCAAATTATATATACCTTTATTATATCAATATGAACCATGTTAGGTACTAAAACGTGCCATTTAAAAAGGTAATCACCCCAGTGACAGCATTTGTAGCTTTATTTCAGAGTGTGCATGCTGTTCATTGGGTTTTCTCACCTGTGTGGTCCATGTTTGGGCCGGTGTTTAGAGTCGGGGTGCCACTGGACTGAATCTGCCACCTGAAACCGCTGTCCTCGGAGATCCAGCCGCAGAACGAAGGATCATTTGCCCAGCCGAAGTCACAAGCAAACCACAGGAATGCTATAGAGAGAGCAGACACATGGAGAAATATTAACACATGCTCTGCAATACTAAACAAGTCACATGCAGTTATATAATAGTATGCATATTTCACAATTATTATTTTTATCTTATTAAGATGATTAAATATATTAAATGTTATTTAAATAATTTAGCACTTTATAACAATGGTCTCAAACTCAATTCCTGGAGGGCCACAGCTCTGCACAGATTATCTCCAACCACCTCCAACTCACTCTCTAGTAGCCCTGATTGGTTAGATCAATTGTGTTTGATTAGGTTTGGAGCAAAAGTGCAGAGCTGCGGCCCTCCAGGAATTAACTTTGAGATATTTGCTTTATAATAAGGTTAGTTAGGTAATGTGTTTACTAACACAACCAAACAATTAATACAATATTTAATCATCTTTGTTAATGTTAGTTACTGAAAATAAAGTCGTTCATGTTAACTCACGATGCATTAACTAATATTAATAAGCATTATTGCATTAGTAAATTTTAAACTATGATTAATGAATGTTGTAGAAGCATTGTTCATCATTAGTTCTCGTTAGCATATGCATTAACTAATGAAACGTTGTAAAGTGTGACAAGTATATGAATAATATAATTAAAAAGGCTGAATGCATTAAAAATACAGTAAAATCAGGTAAATTCTGAAATATTATTGCAATTCAAAATATCTGATTTCTATTGTAATACATGTTGAAATGTAATATATATATATAATTCAAATGTACATTTTCAGTGCCATTATTCCAGTATTAAGTGTTACATGATTCTTCAAAAGCATTTAATATGCTGCGTTGGATTTTTTTTTGCGGAAATCCTCTCATAACTCTTTTATGTACAGAAATAATAACTTAAAACATTACAAATGCCACATTTGATCATTTAAACGCATTCTTAATGCCACCCTAGGACTGATTTGACCACCTCAGCAACATGTTTTCCATCTGTTGTCCACTTGATGGCAATAGAGAGTTAAATTACACACAGAAAACCCCAATGTTTAAGCACGAGCACTTCCAAATTCTCTTATGCCTAAGCCAAATCCACATTCATACCCCAAATATAGCAGGGTCTTGAGAGAGAATGCAGAACATGCGAAACAATGGAGCTTTGAAATCGAGATTGACGTGAAAAAAAAAACGAGGGAGGGATTTAACGATGTTAGATTGAGTGAGAGATGGAAAGCCAAAGAGAGAAAGCAGAGGGAATTGAGACAGACAGAAAAGCAGAAGCACGTCTCGGATGTCAGATATACGCCGGTGCCTGCACAGACTCAGCGCTGCTTTTGGAGACAGTTTAATAAAGCCAAGCGCTCCGCTCCCTTAATAATGCCAGGATTCTCTGCGAGTTTCACAGGGTATTTGCTCACTGAATGCAGAGGAAAGAATTTCCCATTAAAAGCCGCAGCTCAGGCATGCAGCCACTGCCGCTGCGCAAGATGCCAGTTTCCAATTAGAACTTATTTCTTCTTTTCCATCTTGAAATGGATTGGGCCTGTCGCAGTGCAGGACAGTGCACAGATACCCTCCACCGCGGTCCTGAACGCTCTACAAGCTTCGAATGCTTGTCATAGCAAATAAACCACATCCAATAATAGAAAGCGCACACACATAGACTAGATGTTAACAAACCAAGACCACACACACACACACACACACACACACACACACAAGGACGCATGCTTATTGGGACCTTCATTCTGTACACTTGTTTTGCTGATGCCCATACAAGGACAGACACACACACACATACACACACACACACACACACACACACACACACACACACACACACACACACACGGCTATCTTTATAAAGACTTACAATGCAATACACGTAATGATTTCTATACTGTAACAACTGTATATTCTCTCCCTCTACCTCAACCTCAACACTACACCTAAACCCAAGCCTTACATGAAACAATCTGCATTTTTATATTTTCAAAATACTTAATTTTGTCTGATTTATGAGCCATTTTCCTCATGGGGACTTTTTTGGTATACCAGTAAACATTTACTGGTATAGCTATACTTGTGGGGACATTTGGACCTCACAATGATAGAAATACAAGACACACACATACACACACGGCGATCTTTATAGCGACTTACAATAGACGTAATAATTTTTGTGCTGATAAAAACTGTTTATTCTCTCCCTATAGCCCAATACTACACCTAAACCCAACCCTAACATGAAAATCTGCATTTTTATATTTTCAAAATAATTATGTCTGATTTATAAGCTGTTTTCCTCATGGAGACCAAAAAAGTCCCTACAAGGTCAAGATGTTCTGGTATAGCTTTACTTGTGGGGACATTTAGACTCCACAATGTTAGAAATACAAGACACACACACAGACACACACACACATGACTATCTTTATAAGGACTTACAATAGACATTTTTATATTGTAAAGACTGTATCTTCTCTCTTCCCATCCCTAAACTCAACCCTTACAATAAACAATCTGCATTTTTACATTTTTAAAATACATAATTCTGTCTGATTTAGTAGCCGTTTTCCACTTAGAAACCAAAAAAATCCCCACAAGGTCAAAATTTACTGGTATAGCTATACTTGTGGGGACATTTGGTGTGTAAGACACACACATACAAACAGAAGACTTACAATAGACATTATGATTTCCTCCTATCCCTAAACCCAACCCTGACAGGAAACAATCTGCATATTTCCATTTTCATAAGACTCACTTTTTTGTGATCTATAAGCCGTTTTCCTCATGGGGACCAAAAAGACCCTACAAGTTCCACATTTACTGGAATTGCTATACTTGTGGGGACATTTGGACCCCACTATGTTAGAAATACAAGACACACACACATATATACACACACACACACACATGCACACAGGCTAATTAGGCAAGGTCAGCTGAGGGGCACTTCTCATTTGCCCATTAGTGAACAGTCCTGAATGGCTAATCAGCCATTATGCTGAATGAGCAAATCAGAAAGAGCCTTTATAGATTTCCAGAAGAACACTTCGGAAACAAGATTACACACTCCTCTTTGAGCTTACACACTTATAATCAAATATCCTCAACAAGCAAACAGAACAAAGAAACATACAAAGACAATCGTCTCTCCTAAAGCTGCAGTGTTTTCTGTGCTGCTAGTACCAAGCAGAATTGCAAAATTGTTGGCAATTTGTGTTGCTAAAATCTTTCTAAAGAAAATATTTACAGCCTATTGTCAATGACATAATGAAAGGGCCTTGCTTGGATGCACTGAGTGGTTGCTAGACTGTTCTAAATGGTTGCTTGCATGTGTAAACTATACAAAACAGGACAAATAAATAATGTTGGTTAATAAGTTTTACTAACATCAACTAAGAATGAACCATAGTTTTTCAGCATTTACTGATGCATGATTACAGGACAAAGTTCAGCTTGTTAACATTAGTTAATGCACATTAACATGAACTAACAACTATTCGTTAACTATTATTAAAGTAAACCTATAACACCCCGTTTTACAAGAGGTGAAATAAGTCTCTGATGTCCTTACAGAGAGTGTGCGTGAAGTTTCAGCTCAAAATACCACACAGATCTCTCTGAAACTGAGCCTTTTAGACTTTGATCCTAATTGTGGTGTTTTGGTGACTGTCGCTTTAAATTCAAATGAGATTGTGCTCTTTTCAGAAGAGGGCGGAGCTACAAATGCCTACGAGTCAGCATAGAGGCAGATTAAAAACAGCACTAGAGTTCTCAGTGCTGGTCAGGTGTGCATGTGTGCTTCAGTATGTGTGTGTGTGTGTGTGTGTTCATGCTTGTGTCAGTCTATGTTGCTATTCATCTAAAACTCCACATCTATAATGCTCTTAGTCTATGCTGACATCATCTTCAGCAGCTCAAACACTCTTATTGTTATTGGAGAGACGACTGCTTCTCACTCAGGGCTGCTGTTTATGCTAAAAAAGGAGAGGTGGGCACTAGTGGGCGGGGCTTTCCCCGTCTAATGACATCATACAAAGGGAGAATGTCAATCACAGTGTGTCCGCAGACTGCCTTCACCAAGTCTGATTAGAACAAATAGAATTAATTAACATTTACCATTGGAAGCTGATGATATTCACACACTGCTGACACACAACTGGATTTAAACCCCTTATAAAAGGGATTTCTGCATAATAGGTGCTCTTTAACATCATGAATAACTACTTTAGGAATTGAATTGTTCATTGTTTGTTCATGTTTGGAAATGCATTACCTGCCTATGTGCTACCATATATATATATATTGGTATTGTCAGTTTTAGATTGGAGTAAATGAGCTATAATTGGCTCACTCATTAATGGTCTCTGAACTGTGAACTGTAATCTAAGAAAATATGCTAACAGTGCACCATTAATGGAGTGTGCATTGGCCAAACCCAATATAACTGAAGAAATTACAGACAGTACTAAGAGCTCCGTACCTTTCTCACCTGGAATGGTGCTCATCTCCCTGATCGTCTCTGTCGCAGTGGTTCCACCTATAGTATGAAGAGAAACAGATAAACAGCTAAAGCTGGGGAGTTTTTTGTTTGGGTGTAATCAGGATCTGACTGTGCTAATTCCCCTCTTTGCATGTGTGCCTGGCATTTTTAAAACAAGCTTTGCCAGATGAGACATCCAAATACGCTTCCGTCCATGTGGAACCTTTGCTTTTAGCCTTTAACAGAGGGGAGTGTAATTCTGTGCAACACACACACACACACACACACTCTGTGAGACTGCACTGAAGTGAACACAGAGGAGATTAGAGGCATAATTTTAAGCGTAGTGTTAGTAGTAGCAGTTGGAAAGCAGGAGAAGGTTTACTAATCAAACTTAAACACCACTGAAGTGTCTACTGTCAGGCTGTATGCTGTCTACTGAGAAACTGTGATTATGAAATGGAATGATCTGGAATGTGATAATAACATGCAGCATGCTACATACTATACTCATTCACTCATTTTCCTTTAGCTTAGTCACTTATATATCTGGGGTTGCCACAGCGGAATGAACCGCCAACTATTCCAGCATATGTTTTACACAATGGATGCCCTTCCAGCTGCAACCCAGTACTGGGAAACACCTATACACACTCTCATTCACAAATACACCCTTATACATTACGGACAATGTAGTTAATCAGTTCCCCCATAGCGCATGTGTTTGGACTGTGGGGGAAACCGGAGCACCCGGAGGAAACCCATGCCAATATGGAGAGAACATGCAAACTCAGAAATGCCTGCTGGGACTTGAACCAGCGACTTTCTTGCTGTGAGGCCACAGTGCTAACCACAGCGCCCCATGCCGCCCTATACAGTACAATTTCACAATCAGTGTTTTAATCATATTTATTCATGTTTAAATACACTAAAATACTAGGCTGTATTAACTCAATGCTAGGTCAAATATGTAAGTGACAAACCCAACAGTTGGGTTAAAAATGTAATTAAAATTGAGTGTTGACCCAACATTGGATTAAAACAATCAAGCATTGTTTTTTTTTTAGAGTAGATACACATCTTGATTGGCTCACATAGTAAAGCATGTATAAAGTACTACTGTAATATAAAGTAAAACTGCAGTGTGCTGATGTGGAACTACAAATATATTTCAAAATGCATGCTTCAAATATGAATGACCCAAAAATGTAATTAAACAGCATAACATCAATAAAATTTAGGCATTTTTAAGTTAATTAATTATTCATTCATTTTCTTTTCGGCATAGTCTCTTTATTAATCAAGGGTCGCCACAGCGGAATGAATCGCCAACTTATCCAGCATATGTTTTATGTAGGCGATGCCCTCCTAGCTGCAACCCATCACTAGAAAACACCCATACACACTCATTCACACACATACACTACGGACAATTTAGCTTACCCAATTCACCTATACTGCGTGTCTTTGGACTTGTGGGGGAAACTGTAGCACCCAGAGGAAACCCACGCCAACACAGGGAGAACATGCAAACTCCACACAGAAAACTGACCCAGCCGGAACTCAAACAAGCAATCTTCTTGCTGTGAGGCAACAGTGCTAACCACTAAGCCACCGTGTCGCCCTGAGGTATTCGATTATATATAAAGAAAAGCTAAAGCATGCTACATTGTTGTGGTTTGACCTTGCTACACTGCAGTTTTACATTAGCGAGACAACTCAGAAATAAATTGAGTGAATTTGCATTTTTAATCCAATTTTGTCTGAAATGATCCTAACTTTTGGCAGTCCCCGAAGTCACAAAGTGGAAGTTGCGACTGCGTTTGATACGGCTTGCCATTCATTCATCACTGTCTGGCTTTATAATGAAATGGAAGGTCAAGTGGAGCGCATTTGGCAAATGTAGGAGGTTATTTCAATATTAGATGCATACAGAGAATTTGCATACCATGCACAGTATACTTCAGTTCTAGTATGGTTAGTGTGGTTATGAGGGAGCAGATGATTAGGGTCTGTGGAGATTACTGTAGATGCGTTTCCGAAAAAAAAAGGTTTATTTGCAGAAGCAAGAAGCACAATTAGTCTAGTGCAGTGTTTCTCAATCCTGGTCTCACACACCACCACTACCCATATTTCACATGTCTGTTTTATTTAAAGTCAGCATGAAACGGAAGTTAACACTTTCTCCAATAGTGTGATCTACATCCAATTAAAACAGTCCTACAAAAAAGAAGGAAGGTGCATGATTTTGTCTATCGGGAACCGACTGGATCATTGGAAGATTGAAGAATGAAGGCAGAGTAGAAACGAAACATGCTCTAATATCCCCTCCCTAAATGACTGATAGCTCCGCCTAAAAGGACTAATGGCCCCGCCTAAATTATTGATAGCCCTGCCCTAAAGGACTAATAGCTCCTCCCTGAATTAATGATAGCCCGCTCAACAAGGACTGATAGCCCCGCCCAACAGGACTGATATCTCCACCCAAAATGACTAATAGCTCCACCTTAAAGGATTGATAGCCTCTACATAAATTATTTAAAGCCCGCCCTAAATGACTAATAGCTCCTCCCTGAACTAATAATAGCCCCGCCCCAAAAGACTGATAGTCCGTCCCTAAATGACTAATAGCCCCATCTAAAGGACTGATAGCTCCACCCAAAAGGATTAATAGCCTCTAACCAAATTATTGAAAGCCCCGCCCTAAATGACTAATAGCTCCTCCCTGAACTAATAATAGCCCCGCCCCAAAAGACTGATAGTCCGTCCCTAAATGACTGATAGCCCCATTCTAAAGGACTGATAGCTCCACCCTAAAGGATTAATAGTCTCTACCCAAATTATTGAAAGCCCCGCCCTAAATGACTAATAGCACATCCCTGAATTGATAACCCCGCCCCATAAAGTCTGATAGTCCCACCCTAAAGGACTGAAAGCCCTGCCCTAAGTAACTGATAAGCATGCCAGAAAATGCCATTTAAATGAAACATATATGCTGCTTTTAAACTAAAGTGAAGGTGGAATATTCACTTGGCTTATGGTCGAACTAGAACAAACATCTGAAGTGAAGAGAGAATCATATGAAAAGTGCAGTGCGGTGGAGCGCGAGGGCCGGGATTGAGAAACGCTAGTCTAGTGGGATTATCAATGCAAAAGATGCAGCCAGTGCGTGTGCAGTCTCTGCAGGCGGGTGTTAGCACCTGTCTGGTCGTAGTCATCACCTGTTCCACTATGGCAGTTGGCCTGGTCATCGTCACACTCGTCTGACGGTGTGGTGGAGGCTGCGGGTGTAGTAGGCGGCACTGTAGGCACTGCACACAGAAAAATAGAGATCATGAAATTAGACAGATTTATTAGGGGTGTGAATCAACACTGCTCTCACAGTTCAGATCGGTTCCATTTCTCATGTCATTGATTCGGTGCAATAGCATATTCGCACGGCTAGTGTTTCTTCCTCTACCGATAAACGTCCAGTGAGCGATCCGGTTCGGGTTAATGTGACCTTTTTCAATTGTACACCAAAACAGCATCAATGTTGCATGAAACATATGCTAGATAAGTTGGCGGTTCATTCTGCTGTGGCGACCCCTGATTAATAAAGTGACTAAGCTGAAAACAAAACGAATGAACGAATAACTGATACATCTTCTATAACACAATGCATTAAAGAAATAATTAATTTTGACACCCCAAAAATGCACACGACAGCATCATCTCTCATCCCCAAAAAACATGGCACGGTCCAATTCTCAAAGTAGGAGATTACTGAACGTCCAAAAACCATTGCATTTTTTTTTGTCATCCACAAATCATCTTAACGATTCTGTTCTTTCCAAGTGTGCGAGCGTTTGATGCAGGCCTGTGCGTGACTCTGGGTGCTGGGGTTTTGGATGTTATGCTCCACCCTGGGCCCGTACAGATGGTTGTGTCCTCTCATTATGGCCGCCCGTGCCCCCTTTGGATGTGGCCTTTGCCTACATCTGCCTAAAGCCCTGTGTTTACTCTCAGCTTGTAATGAGCTGCCCTTAAGCCTGCAGGGTTTTCCCGGGATAGAAATGAGGGGGAACAAATGTGCAGGGAGGGAGAGGGGGAAACGGGAGCTGGAGTGGAAGTTGTGTGGGCATTTTTAAGAGAGGCTCTAAAGCCGAAAGGTCACGCAGAGGTCATAGCAGTGGCTTGGACAGCACTGTTGGCCACACACACTCCTGCTAGGACTCGCCGCCCTGCTGTTAGGAGTGTGTATGTGTGCGTACGGGGTCACTTATTTGATTATAAGAGCTTTTCTTACTTGAGTTTAGGGTCCAAACATCTAAATATTCTTACATCAAAAATATTGGTTTGTTTTCAGCAATAATGAGATTAAATGAAGTGAGTTTTCCCTTAAAACAAGCTAAATAATCTACCGATGGGGTAAAAAGCGATCTTGTTTTTGCTTTGATATGAGATTATTTTACTTCCCCCCATTGGCAGATTATTTTGCCTGTTTTAAGGAAAAACTCACTTCATTTATTCTCATTATTGCTGAAAACAAAACAATATTTTTGATGTAAGAATATTTAAATGTTTGGACTATAAACAAGACAAAAACTAAATTGTTTTTTTGCAGTGAATGATTTTTAAATGCTTTTATAAGTTAAAAAATACAGTAAGAAAATGTGAAAAGTTATTGCAATATTAAATATTAAAGTTATTTTATTGATTCTACAGTGCTCAGCATAACTGACTTCACCCCAATTTAAAAATTAATATTTAAAGAGTTCAGATGCCAAAAACCTCTGTGCTGTCTGAAATTTACATCGAGAATGAACATTTTCTTAGCCTCGTTTGTTTATGTTGAAATATTTCACTTTAAAGACCAGGAAAAGGACATAGGGCCCTATCATGCACCCGGCGCAGTGTGGCGCAAGGCCTGGCGCAGTAGTCTTTTGGTAGTTTCAGCTTGGCGCAAGAGTGGTTTTGAGGCGTTGCGCTACACTGTTTAAATAGCAAATGCATTAGCGCTCATATGTGCGCTCATAGGCGTTCTGGTCTAAAAAGGAGGCGTTATGAGGCGGACCGCTGGCGCGTCGCTATTTTGAGAAACTATAATAGATTTTTCATTAGACCAAAACTAACCCGGTCTAAACTCCAGCGCAGAGTTGCGCCTCGCTTACACACTGCTTAATACACACAAGAGAGCAATAGACAAATATCTTTACATATGAAAAAATGTCAATATTAAGGATATATATAGGATATAATAGGAATAGATATAGAATATAAATATAAAGGATTAAAATATTACAAAACATATTATTTTCTAGCCGACATAAATATGAAAAATCACTGCTTTTATGTCTTCTTCATCTCGAGAGGCTTTTTCAGTTCATTCATAACAATTAGCTTTTGTATAATGTTATTATTATTAGCAGTATTATTTATTATATCCATATTTATATTAGTTTTATTAAAAACAAGCTTAGATTTGCCCACCTGTCGGGTTTTAGACCATATGGGGCACAGCATGTGTATTAGGATATAACTCAGGTTTTTCAGCACATTTTGTTATTATTATTCTTTTATTCGTTTGCTGGAAATTAGAACTGAATTTAGAAATAGTTTTGAAACGAATATTTGCGCTTAACAAACAAAAGTATTTATTTATAGACTAATTGATGTCTGTGCATAAAGGTTTCCCTATCCAAGAGCAAAAGTGAAAGTGATCCATTATCTCTCATTCTCACGCAGTAGATGCTCTGTTTAACAGTTTTCTGTTAAAAAAAATGTGAACTGTTTGCTTGTGAAATGCTCATTTTTTCCACTTAGACTTACTTTGCGTCCTGTGAATAGCGAATGCGCTCTTGGCACGACGCAGCTGTCTCTTAAAGGGAATGGGAGATGAGACTCTAATTGGTTTATTCTTAAAACACACCTATAACTCATTAAGAAAATAAACTCAACCCTTTTACACCATGCCCCGAAGCGCAAGGCAAATTTCCCGTCCTTAAATTAGCAAAAACGCGTCCTGACACGCCCTGAAAGCATTTGCGCCCTGCGTTTTGCGCTCTGCGCATGGACCGTCAAAATAGAGCCCTTAATCTTTGCCATAAAAGCTGACAGCGATGATGATATGCAAAAAACTTAACAACTAACATGCATTGCAAGCTCTGTGATTGGTCAGCTTGCCATCTATGATGAGTGTAGGCGGTGCTGAGAGCCGCGAGCCTGATGGAGCGAGGGTTTACAAGTGTGGAGTCCCATGAAGGAGCTCCAGATGGAGACTATTGTTTTGTGTTTACCTCATGATTATAGTTGCTGCATGTCCACCAGTTCCAGCCTCAGAATGAGCGAGGCTGAGCTACTTGTATATTAAGGTAGCATTCAGAAATAACAAAACACCAGCGAAGAAACTCGACACAGAGGAACATAAACACCTACTGCCATCTAGCATTTCAGAAGAGCTATTGCAGAGCAACACAAACGGCATGCAGAAGTATAAATGCACGATTACACTTGATGCAGAAGTATGAGTCCGCCTTTGGTGTTGTTTTTTGTCGTCAGTTAGGGAAACAAATACAGTACCATTAAAAAGTACCATTATTTTATTTATTTTTAACTTTTATTCATCAAGAGTGAAAGTAAACACATTTATAATGTTGAAAAATTGCAAATGAAAGCTATTATTTTGAACCTTATTTTATCAAAGAATCCTTAAAGTGAAATATCTCACAGTTTTCATGATACTATGAAGCATATTTTTCCAGCACTGATAATTGTTAGAATCATTATTAATAATTTTGTACCAATAACAACTGATCATAATAGAACAAATCACGACACCAATGACGAATGATGATGACAATTCAGCTTTGAATCACAGGAATAAATTACATTTGAGCCAACATTTGATTAGGACATTTTATAAATAATATTTAATTAATACAATAATATAATAAAATACTAAAAAAATATAATTAAATAATACTCGTACGGTATTTTTGATCAAATAAATGCAGCTCTGATGAGCATGATCAGCTTTTTTAAAGACATAAAAAGAAAATCTCAAACTTTTGACTGATATGGCGAGTGTTGGACTGCCCGTGCGTGTGCTGGCATTAAAAGTGAAAACAAGCATTATCATCCGACTAAAGCTCCCGATGGGATGCTGTGGCTTACACAAGCAAGTCTCACAGTCTCTCCCAAATCCAATATGTAAATCCACTTAACGCTGCCTCAACAGAAAACACACACACACACACACACACACACCATCAGAGCTAAACTAATTCAGAATAAAGACAGAGGGGAAGACATCAAGGACCTTTCCGTAATCCTTCAAGGCAGGTGGACCAAAGATTATCTCCAGCTGTTATTTAGGAGAGTCCCTGCGTTTCTGTGTAGGAGACTTCCTTTGATGGGACAAGTAATTATGAAGAAAGCTAAGCCGTACCCTGTCCTGCTCTCTAGAGTGGATAAGTCCAAATTCAATAAAAAAAGCATCTGTACTAATAAGACCACACACTTCAAACTCGCTTTTAAGATCAGACGTCTGTCATTTTGTCTGTCTTTTGTTCACTTGGTTTAGACAATATGCAGTGAGGCGATGCATTATTGACTGCAATGCAATGATGTGCATCTTTTGTGAAGCTGCTTTGAAACTATAATTATTGTGAAAATGCTTTACAAGTAAACTTAAATTGAATTTAATTATCGGGTAAAATAAATACTGAATATGTCACCACTTTTTTTTCTCAGAAAACATATTTCTAATGGTACTGTTGACTTGAAATGTTCACCAGATGCCAGTAACAACCTAAGAAATCCATAGATACAAAGATAACACAACTAATTAGGTGTTAGGAATGAAGTTTTGTGTTATTAATTTAAACAACAGGGAAAAGCATTGAACACATGAAGAAAGGAAAGTGTGAACGGGCATGGAACGCCCAGACAGCAGCTGAAATCTCTCAGTATTATTCAGCAACTGCTCTTTGTCAGTGTAAATGAATAGTATGTGCTTCAGCAACACCTACATTACTAGATAATGATATTAAAACCAGGGTGGACATTTCAGCAAGACAATGGGAATCTTGTGTCCTTGCTTTCCCATGTAACGAAAACTTTCAAAGTTCAGTTCCAATACTTAAGACCGCAAGAATGAAGGACACATGACAGAACCCAGATGCATTCTTAATATTGAGGGTACATCAAATGCAGACTCTACCCGCAGAATTAGCTCTAGAAGTCCCATGAGTCATTGCGGCTAAATAAAGGAGCGCCACTTTTTATTAAACTATTTACAAGTAAAGCTCAGAGATTATGTTCATGTGACAATATTAATAAAGCCATAAGCACATTAGGTTGTTCATTTGTTGAAATCAAATGATAAAATATGTTTAATTTGTTTTGTTAAAATTTGTAAGGGTTTTGTGCATGTTATTAATATATTGAAAAAGAAAAAAACTTTTATTTATCTGTGGTATTTTGCATTGATAAACACCATCACAAACAGTCGATGAAACTCTTAATTGCTTGTTTTCAGGAAAAACTCACTTGATTTTGACTCATTATTTCTGAAAACAAGACTATATTTTTTGCTTGTCTAGAAAAAGCTTCTTGATTTAAGCATTTTTAGATATTTGGACAAGAAACAAGACAAAAACTCCACAGGTAAGGAAGCTCAGAAATGTGATGCTACACCTGCAATATATAACTCAGAGCTAAATTTACACTGCTTTTATAATAGCTGAGCAACTGTGTTCCTGGTGTTGCTACAGCACTCCTCCAGGTTTGTGGTTATAGATGTGTGTGTGAATCCGTTTTCATCTTACCTTCCATTTCACATCCCAAAAGTTCCAGTCTGAGTCCCATCCCAGCAGGAGTGCCTCTGTCTGGGTAAATCCTAACAAAGCGTGTCAACACTGGCTCCATTGTCCTCAACGCTGGGGTGTCATAGTTCAAATTCCCCTCAAAAATCTGCAAAGCACAACGACAGAGTCCGAGACAGTAGTTAGCAGTCGAGCAGAGAGAAAAAGAAGGAAAAGGAAAAAGATAAAGGGGAAGGATTTATTAAGAGTATCTCAAAGTCTGACAGGGAAAGCAAAGCACAGAGCTTTAATGAAAGAGAACAAGTGCGAGGGCACACAGCTCGCACCTTTCTTAACTTAAGCGCCGCTGCTGTATTTCTAATGCAACAAAGCACTAGAGAAAAGAAAGACTTCATCTTCTGACACTGAACGGCTGAGCTGGAGCAAAAAAGAAAGGCTACAGGCTAACACTGCGGTCTATGACAGCAAGATGCACAAAAGCATCCGCCTTTGACCACATTTTTAAAGCCTTACAGCTAAGACACAAGGTTCTACAGAAGACTGACTAAGAAAAAGACATTCACTAGAGGGAAAAAAAACCCCAAATTAATCCATACATACAAAGAAAACAAACGTAATTATTGAAGATATGAAGTTTTGTATAATAAAATGAAAGCACAGAGAAAAGGTGTTAAACACATGAAGGAAGGAAGGTGTAAAAAGGCATGGAAAGCCCAGACAGCAGCTGAAATCTCTCAGTATTATTCAGCAACTCGTCAGTGTAAATGAATATTATCTGCTTCAGCAACACCTTCATTACCAAATGATGAAGATGAAACCAGGGTGGACATTTCAGCAAGACAATAATCCTAAACGCAGCCAAGAAAACTCTCAGATGCTTTCAGAAAATAAAGAAAACAAAGCTGCTAGAATGACTACCTGAGCTGAATCCAGTAGAAAATACAACTAAAGATCAGATTTAAAGACGCGACCCACAGTACAGTCAAGAGTTTTAGACTCTGTTGAAGGCTGTGGAAAATTAAAATCCCACCTGAGCAATGCTTGCAGCTTTATTCTCCATATAAGAGTTGACCTCACCAAAAACACATGAAGGAAGGAGTAAAAAGGCATGGAAAGCCGAGACAGCAGCTGAAATCTCTTGGTATTATTCAGCAATTGCTCTTTGTCAGTGAATATTAGCAACACCTACATTACCAGATGATGCAGATTGAACCACGCTGCACATTTCTGAAACACAGCCAAAATACACTCAATTGGTTTCAGAGAAAGAAAATAAAGCTGCTAGAATGAGCAGCCAATCGCCTGAGCTGAATCCAGTAGAAAATAAGAACTAAAGATCAGATTTATAGACAGTACGTCAAGATTTTTTAGACTCTGATTTAGATTTTGAAGTCTGGGGGAAAAAATGAACAAATAAATCACACCTGAGCAATGCATGCGGCTTCATTATCCATATAAGAGACATCTTGAAGTTGTGATTACCAAAAATGCAAGCATTTCCTTTAATATAAAGTGTTAAATACAACAAGATGCACAAAAGCATCCTTCTGAAGTCTTACAAGCATGACAAGGTTTTACAGGAGACAGACTAAGAAAAATACATTCGCCAGAGGAAAAAAGGCTTCAGAAGAAGACAAGCAGTCATGAAGGAACATTAATGCCTCTCGACTTTTAGATAATGCGTCGACTTTTGTTCTTCAAGCTAAGGAACTGATATAAGGGGTTTCTTTGGGGTCTCTGGTATTCTAATGAGGGATAAAGTATATAGTCTTTGCTCTACAAAAGGAAAAAATGTGATTCAAGTTTCATTTATATTCCAGTTTCATGTGGTGACCAGAATCGCTCCACTGCAAAAAATGACTTTCTTACCTAAAGTTTTTGTCTCATTTCCAGTTCAAATATTTACAAATTCTTAAATAATGAAGCATTTTCTAGAGAAGTAGAAAAGATTGTTTTGTTTTTAGAAGTATTAAGTCAGAATTAAGTGTGTTTTTCCTTAAAACAAGCAAAATAATATTGTTTTTCACATTTTATAAAATAATAACATTTTAACAAGCAATAACACTGCTTATCCCATTGGCAGATTATTTTAGCTTGTTTTAAGGAAAAACTCGCTTAATTTTCACTCTTTATTTCTGAAAACAAGACTATATATTTTTTTTACTTTAGAAAATGCTTCATGATTTGAGACTTTTAAGATATTTAGAAAAGAAATAAGACAAAAAGCATCTATTTTTTGCATTTATCCTGTATAATTGACTGTTATTTTAATTAATTGATTTCCTACATAATGTATCTGTGCTAGTTTCTACATTTTCATCTCACACTCTATTTTCCCCCAATATTGTGCTCACAGCACTAGTTTAATTATTGTTATTCTCTTCTTCATCTCATTTGAGGGCTTTGGGAAAAATACATTACAGCTCCATATTCTCCAACTAATTATCTAGAAACTAAGAGAGCAGCAGTCCAGTACAACCTAATACTTATTCACAACAGTTCATGCAGTGTGTGTCCCTATTTTTTACCTTGGGCTTGTTGCCGGTAGCATCCATCACCAATTTCCAATCGGATCCGTTGTTGCTGTATCCCAGACGAAACTTCTTCATGAACACCTTGTTATCTCGGTGTTTGCCTCCCTGGATGATCAAACCTTTGACTAGTTTTTCTTCGGCCAGATCTATCTGCAGCCATTCGTCTGCATACGGTTGTGACTGTGGCAGTAACATCCATCCTGAACGGCTGGTCATCAGACGAGCGTTTTCTGAAACCCAGGTACGCTCGATGTGGGACGAGACGGTGATCTGAGAGTCTGTGATCAGGCCTGAAACCATTCCCAGCATTCCTGAGCACGGATACTCTGTTGAAGGACAAAGACAGTGTTAGACTGAGGGAAATTTCAAATAGTTCACCAATGAATGCTAAATTCACACCAAACTAAATATTCTTATGTCTAAGCGAAGCAAGATTGATTTTATTACCCCATTGGCAGATTATTTGATCTTGTTTTAAGAAAAAACATAAATAATTTTGGCATACTATTTCTGTAAACAAGGCAATCATTTGTGCTTCTCTAGAAAATTCTTCTTGTTTTAAGAGTTTTTAGACATTTAGACTTGGAGAATTCAAGTGTGCACGAGTAAATTACATACAAATTCAATTCAAACCTGTGAACAGAAGCGGATTATATTGAATTGATTGATGTTGTATGCTACAAACACATGTAAATCTCCTCAAATTCATCTACCGCACAAGATGAAATAACTAAATTGAAGCAAAACAATCGTGCAAGAGGAGGAAAAAACATCCTGAGTAAACCACAGCTAGTGTCAAGTGCTTTGCTTTTAAACAAAATTATTTTTTGTACCTCATTGGCAGATGAATTTGCTTGTTTTTAGAAGAAACTCACTTAATTTTGGTGTATTATTGATAAAAACAAGACAATCATTCCCTTCAAACGCATCTACTGTGCAAGATCAAATAATTGAATTCAAGCTAAAGGTATTGACAAGTGCTCTGCTTTTAAACAAGATCATTCTTTTTACCTCACTGACAGATTATTTTGCTTGTCTTAAGAAAAAAAAAACACTTTTATGACATTATTTTTGAAAACAAGACTATATTTATTGATTGTCTAGAAAATGCTGCTTGATTTAAGAATTTGTAGATATTTGGACTAGAAACAAGTGTGCACGAGTAAATTACATATTAAGTTAATTCAAATGTGTGAACAGAGTTCAATTATATTGCATTGATTGATGTAGTATGCTGCGAACACACAAATCTTCTCAAACGCATCTACTGTGGAAGATTAAATAATTGAACTCAAGAGAAAGATTTGTGCAAAGGAAAAAACATCCCATGAGTAAACTAGAGCTAGTGACGAGTGCTTTACGTCTAAACAAGATCATTCTTTTACCCCATTGACAGATTACTTTGCTTGTTTTAAGGAAAAACTAACCTAATTTTGGCGTATTATTTATGAAAACAAGACAATCATTTGTGCTTGTTCAGAAAATGTTTCTTGATTTAAGAATTTTTAAATATTTGGACTGGAAACAAGACAATCAAAATCAAGTGTGCACAAGTAAATCACATATCAAGTCAATTCAAACATGCAAATAGAGGCAGATTATACTGAATTGATTGATGTTGTATGCTATAAACATATGCAAATCTTCTCAAACGCATCTACCGCGCAAGATTAAATCATTGAATTCAAGCAAGACATTTGTCAAGGGAAAAAACATCCCATGAGTAAACCAAAGATAGTGACAAGTGCTTCACATCTTAACAAAATTATTTTTTTTCCCCATTGGCAGATTATTTTGCTTATTTTAAGAAAACAATTCACTTAATTGTGGCATACTATTATTGAAAACAAGACAATAATTTGTGCTTGTCTAGAAAATGCCACTTGGTTTAAGACTTTTTAGATATTTGGACTAGAAACAAGACAAAAAAATAAGGAAAAGCATTTTTTACTAGTGTGCATGAGTGAATTACATATAAAGTCAATTCAAAAGTGTGAATAGAGATGAATTATATTGAATTGATTGATGTGGTATGCTGCGAACACACATAATTCTTCTTAAATGCATCTACTGCCAAGATCAAATAATTAAATTCAAGCAAATCATTTGTAAGAAGGAAAAAAAAAACCATCCTATGAGTAAACCAGAGCTAATGACAAGGTGCTTTGCATCTAGTGTGAACCCAGAATAAGCAATGAACAGCAGCAGACAAGGAAAATATAAGTACATCGCATGTTTTTAAGAGCTTGACCTTACTAAGCAGCCAACCCCTGATCCATCGCTTACAGTTGTGGCAAACAAATGTACCATTATTTGGCATGCCAATAAACCACATGAGGACAGAGAAAAAGAAGAAGTGTTTGTGACCAGTAGACTTGAATGAATGTGTCTATGAAGGATTAGATTAGCTGTGACTGGATGAGTCTGAGAATAAGAGAAAGTGACTGATAAACATGTAGAAACCCTCTCGTCTCGCTGAGCTGGGAAACATTCTTACCAACAACCTGAAAAGGTCACAGGCCATAAAGAGGCCGAACAAAGAGAGACGGAAAGACATTCACGCTGCAGGAAAGACGGATGAAGTGGACAGAAGAGATAAAATACCTCTTGTTCTCTTTGTTTCTCTCTCTCAGTCTTCCTTTCACCGCCCGACCTTGTGCATTAACTCTCCTGCCTCTTTTCCTCAAGCTACACCTAATTAAAACCTCTCCAGTGCTTTCGCCTCTCAAGCTTCATTTCTACCCTCCTTTTCCTTTTGTTTCTCATCTGCTTTATTATTCAACCCTACTGCTTCCTCCCTCTTGCAATCTATCTTCATCTTTCCAAACCGACTTGCTTTGTTTCCAGCGCTGATAATACGATATTTCACGCTTTGCCACGTTTAGGCAGGTTGAGTATGAGGGAAATGATCAGACATGCAAGTGCTGTCTGTGTGCTGCCTGTCATACCTTCTCCAACGCTTTGGGATTCGTGACCTGCCAGCGATACCGTAATCTACGATCAGCACCCGTGGAGCAGGGAGACAATCTCGGACTAGTCACAGATGGACCTAATGTCCCGTGAAATACCACCAGAACAGAGTTTTCATTCACAACACTGCCTTTGTACTGATGTAGGGAACTTCCTCTGTAGTGTTGGAAAGGAAAGAGCCCCTGTCTGTGTGTCCAAATGTAAGCTCCGGGCTCCTAAAGCAACACATTCTTAGGACTAGGCATGGGACGAGTCAAGGTTTTAAAACTGCTTAAGTTGTTTGTCTTGTGGTATATGTCCAGAAGCGCTGTCGACTTCTCTGGGCTCGGAGGCATCTGGGATGGACCATCACACAGTAGAAACATGTACTGTGGTCAGATGAAGCAGTGTTTCAGGTTTTTTGGGTGAGCAATGGATGCTGTGTGCTCCAGACTAAAGAAGAAAAGGATCATGCAGACTGTTACCGGCAACAAGTCTAAAAGCCAGGGTCTGTCATGGTATGGGGTTGTGTTAGTGCCCTTGGCAAAGGTAACCTGCACTTCAGTGATGCACCATTAATGCTGGACAGTACAGAGAGATTTTAGAGCACATATGCTGCCTTCTTCTCCATGCATATTTCAACAAAACCACATTCTGCACACATTACAAAGTCCAGGCTGCGGAGGTTGAGTATACAAATACTAAACTGGACTGCCTGCAGTCCCGACCTGTCGCCAAAAGAGAATATGTGAATGACTGAATGACCGACTGACTGATTGGTCGACATCCTCCTTCTTCCCTAAACCCAACCAATTGTATTGATTGACCCGCCCACCCACTTCCCTAAACCCAACTAACAATTTTCAAAAGCAATTCAGAAAAAGAAAAGCCCTCGCCTTGATTTTTTATGACGTTTTCAGATTTTACCACATTCTTACTTTGTTATTTACTTGTTTGTTGTATTTTTTAGATTCTGTTTTTGTATAACCCACTTTCTGGAACTATCCTTCACCGAACTCGAACCCTGTCATTGTGGTCAACTCCTCTCTGCTTTTCAAGTCCGCTGACGTACATGACGAGCTAACGGGACAAACTGGTAACCGCGGGAAAGCCGTCCGTACAGAGGTTGGTGGTCAGCTGGTAAGCTTGAAAAGGAACAGCGTCATACTGGCACGTCGTGTTCATTTTAAAAATGAAATGTAGCCATACGTAGCTCTGGCTACATAATTCGTGATCTCCAGAAATGTATATAGGGATACATTTCAGAATGTTAAAATAATTAAAGCTCTTGCTCTTTTTTCGCACTATCACCATTTAATGACATCATGTTCGGGGAAAACTGAAATTGTTTGGTGGACGTCGGTCACAGTAACTTTTTTTTTCTGGTTTTGTTCCGGGAATTATTCATTTACAAATGAAGCACTTGTGAGAATCATCTTATTCTGATTTTGAACTTTGATTTTTACATTGTTTGTTTGTGAATGTACAGCCAGGGTTGGGTTTCTCAAACCCTCGCCAGATTTGAAAGATGTTTCTGTGTGTAATTTGTGATATATATGCATGCCAGACTGTTCTGGGACCTGAATGAAAGAAGGATCTGCGCTGAGGTGGTTGGTCCTCGATGTTTTGGAAGTCGACCAAGTTTATTTTCAATCTGCCTGTTGGCACTGTCATCAGGACCTGTTTATGGATCTCAGATGGTGATGCTTGCTAGAATCTGCTAGTGTGGTAGACCCTGACGGACACACCCCGAGGGTGGACTGGACCATGTGCAGCATGCGTTTCATCTGTTGGTTTGGACCGCGCACAGCACATAAAGGCTGGATGACCACACACACACAGATGGTTTTATTTACAAACAGCGGGAGGAAGTTTATTAATGGCTGCGTGGTTGTTGAAAGCCTATCAGACTTTCGGAGCATTCCAAAATGAGATATATTGCCCTCCGAAGGGCACTTTGGAGTGAAAACAATCATGGCCACAGTATTGAAGTGCTATTCCAAACCAAAGTGCTTAAAACTGGCAACTTCAACTACAACTGATGGCAAAGTTGAAAGTTATACACTCAAAAAAATTACGTTTGTTCAAACTACTTATTGAAATTGAGCTGAAACAACATAAATCTTGAGCTTTTTTTGGGGACAACTTAATTGTTTTGAGTTCAATCTATTTCAATTTGTAAAAGCTAATAAGTTACTGTAATTCATTCATGTTGTCCCTACACAAGTCGATTTTTTACAGTGTGCTGGTGTAAAGTTATTGCAAGTTATTGCATTACTAATACAAGGCCTCATCCCTATGCCCTAATCCAGGAGTCTGCAACCATTTTCATAGCACTGGTTTACTTATTTTGTAATGTATTGTGGACTGGAAGGGG